GGCCGGCGCCACAGCTCACTAGGCTAATCCTCCGCCTTGCGGCGCCGGCACACCAGGTTCTAGTCCTGGTTGGGGCGCCGGATTCTGTCCCGGTTGCCCCTCTTCCAGGCCAGCTCTCTGCTGTGGCCCAGGAGTGCAGTGGAGGATGGCCCAAGTGCTTGGGCCCTGCACCCCATGGGAGACCAGGAGAAGCACCTGGCTCCTGCCTTCGGATCAGCGCAGTGCGCCGGCCGCGGCAGCCATTGGAGGGTGAACCAACAGCAGAGGAAGACCTTTCTCTCTGTCTCTCTCTCTCTCACTGTCCACTCTGCCTGTCAAAAAAAAAAAAAAATCTGATAATGTACCTGGGGAAGCAGCAGAGAATGGCTCAAGTATTTGGGCCCCTGCCACCCACATGGGAGACCCAGAAGAATCTCCTGGCTTTGGTTTGGCCCAGCCGCAGCCGCAGCCCCAACTGCTGCCCCTGTGGCTCTTTCCCTCCCTCCCTCTCTAACTCTGCCCTCTCAAACAAAATTATCCTTTTTTTTTTTTTTTAAAGTCACTATGCTGACACATCTACCTCTTGCCACCCATAAAATCAGAGAATGGACTCTGAATATGCTATGGAAAAATCTCAAGTCTCTACAACCTACTTAACAATAGAAATAGTCAAAAGAACAAGGAAAATGGCCTCTGTTTTTCTTTTACTGTCCACAACTCTCACTAATTCATCTAACTGGTAGGATCTAACTTTCATCTGGAACATAGCTGCATGGGAGTCCGGTAAGCAAAGGGTTAGCGTTCCAATATCTCCCACTAGAAGAGGGTGGAATGAGCCAGACAGGTTCTCAGCACTCACTACACCCTCCATATAGGTGGTACCAAACCACATTCCTACCAACAGAGGGTCTCAGCAAATCTGAGCTTTGCCAATCCAATATGTGAAAAATAGTACCTTATTCGTTTAACTGACACTTCTGTTATTATGAGAGGTGGAGCATCATGTCTTAGAGGCTGTTAAAATATACACCTCTGTGACTAGGATACAGTGTGAGACCTGTCCTAGGAGTTGTGCAGCCATGTGACCCTATAATATGGATAAATGCCTCATATGAAGTCAATACGTCCTTTGCCCAAAAACTGCCCTTTTTTAAAAAAAAGATTTATTTATTTGAAAGTTGAAGTGACAAAGAGGGAGAGACAGAGAGAGAACAAGAACGAGAGTGAGAGTGAGAGAAAGATTTTCCATCCTCTGGTTCAATCCCCAAATGCTCACAACAGCCTAGCCTGGTCTGAGGCCAGGAGCCTGGAACTCTATTTGGGCCTCCTGCATGGGTGGCAGGGACCCAACTACTTGGGCCATCTTCTGCTTTCTTCTCAGGTGCGTTAGCAGGGACCTGGATCAGAAGGAGAGCAGCAGGGATTCTAACTGGTACTCCGAGATGGGATGCCAGCTTCACAAATGGTGGCTGCTCAGGCTCATTTTTAAAGAAAGCTATATTTAACTGGAAACACGCGTGGGGTCTGAGCATATGGCATCGTTCGTGGTATAGCTTCCAAAACTTAGCCCTTACCTAGTGACCCGACAATTGTTTTCTGCTGAGTCATCCCCTCTTAGGAGATTGTCCCAATGAGGTAGGAAGGGGAAGCCTCAACTTGAAATGCCACAAGTGTTTCAAGTTCTGCAGCACTAGAACTTTGCATTCAAACTGCTTCCCCATTGCCAGGGTATATGGAATTCTAGTTCCCCTCCTGCCTGCAACAGATCTAATTATGAATTATGCTGGGTGGGGGGAATGAGAGCACAGTGCATCCAGGGAGCTGGGCAGCCGTCCCTGCCTGCTGGGCTTGCGTTCTTGTGGTTTATAATGTCTTCTTGGGCGAATAATAACCTTGCATTCATGCCAGGCCTTTTGGTCTTTGTTGATGACCTGAAGGGTCTGGAAGCCTGAGATCTCAGATTCAAGAACAAGCCTTTTAAGCCTGGTCAATCAATCAGGCCGCATAGTCAGAGCCCCAGAAGGTACAAGCTGCTGACGCAGAAAGTCCCAAGCATTCAGGAACACACCACTTGCCAGGAAGAATGGGACTGAATTGTTTTTTCCTTTGAAATTGCCCAGTTGCTAGCAGTGTTCAGGTGTTCAGAAGCAGGGCCAGCCAGTGAAGAGTGCACTTAGGGATTTCCTTGCAGACCCAATGTGAGGCACCAATTCCATCACCAGATATTCATTCATTCCTTTTGGCTGAAGAATTCCCTTAGGAACCCATCACTCCCTCCTCACTTGCCTATTACTTACACTCAAAGTGTCCTCGTCATTTTTGATCCCTTCTCCTCCCCTGCCCTATGCAGTTCATCACGAAGCCCTCTCAGAGTCCCTCACAGTGCCTCTGAGTAAGGCATGCTGCTGTGCTGAGAGGACTGGCTGTGTGGCCTTCAGCAAGCGATCCAAACTCTCTCTGAGCCTCAGTTTCTTTCCCCGTAAAGTGGAGCTAACACTATAATACATCTCCCTGGGGTTTTGTGAGAATTAAAGATAACATATTTTAAAGGGGTGCTGTTTACTTACTATTTTTAAATTATTAATTTATTTGAGCATCAAAGAGACAGAAAATAGAAAGAAGGACCTCTCGTCCACATGTTCATTTTCCATATGCCTGCAATGGCTGGAGCTGGGCCAGGCCAAAGCTGGAAGCAGAGAACTCCATTCAGGTCTCTCATGTAACTGGCAGGGACCCAAGCACTTAAGCCAGCACCTCCTGCCTTCCAGAGTCTGTGTTAGCAGGAAGCTGGAGTCAGGAGCCAGAGTCAGGTATCACACCAGGTACTCCAGTGGGGGATGTGAGCATCTGAGCCGCCAGCCCAAATGCCCATACATGTTCTTAAAAACAATCACATGCACACACACAAAGTCATTTCCCTAGAAACTCTCTCTCTCTCTCTCTCTCTCTCTCTGTCCACTCTGCCTGTGGGAAAAAAAAAAAAAGAATTAGGATTCAGGAGCCAATGCTGGCATCTAATATCAGTGCCAGTTTGAGTCCTGGCTGTTCAGTTTGTGATCCAGCTTCCTCCTTTGCAGCTGTTTGGGGAGTGAACCAGCAGGTGGAGGACCCCTCTCTCTGTCACTCTGTCTTTCAGATATTCAATAAAGAGGCAGAATCTACTTCTGCACCTCTGACTCTGAGGATGGCCATGTGACTGTTTGGGCCAATGAAGCCATAGTCAAACACGTTCGAAGAGGCTTGCTTCTCTCCCTACTAAAGAATCCTGCAGCCACATGTGAACAAGCTAAGTCTGCTGGATAATGAGAGACCAGGAAGGGGACAGCCCAGATGAGGCTCCAGACATATGAATAACCACAGCTACCATGACCAGGGGCAGAAATGAGTCATGCCAGCTGAGTCCGGACCAAATGAGCAACCTACAGAACCATGTGCAGACAAATGAATTTTGTTTTATTTATTAATTTATATTTAAACAGAGATACATAGACAGAGTGAGATCATCTATCTGCTGGTTCACACCCTAAATGCCCACAATAGCTGGGGCTGGGCTAGGCTGAAGCCAGGAGCCTAGAACTCCATCCAGGGCTCTATGTGGGTGGTGGGGACTCAACTACGAGAGGAATCATCTGCTGCCTTGAAGGTGTGCACCAGCAGGAAACTAGAATCAGAAGTGGAGCCAGGACTGGAACCTAGGCACTCCGATTTGGGCATTCAAATGGCACCTTAACCACTGCACCAAACATCCATCCCCTTAGTTTTTAAAGATTTATTTCTTTATCTGAAAGGCAGAGTTATGGGGGGGCGGATATCTTCTGTCTGCTGGTCCACTCCCCAGATGCCTACAATAGCTGAGGCTGGGCCAAGCTGAAGCCAGGAGCCAAGAACTCCACCCGAGTCTCGCATGTGGGTGGCAGGGGTCCAAGCAATTGAGCGATCGTCTGCTCCCAGGTGCATTAGCAGGGCATCTATGAGATACGGGGTCCTAAGCTTTGGCTTAACCTGCTCCACCACAACACCTGCCCCAATAAACTTTGAATTCCATTTTCCCATGAATTTTTTGAAGCATCATCATTTAATAAATCACTCTCGAAACCCAGTGGCTTAAAACAACTGCTATGGGTCAGCTGGGAGGTCTTGCTGATCTAAGCAGACCTGGTTAACATTAGCTGGGCTCACAATCAGGTGGAGGTTAGTGGTTGCTGGTGGGTCTGGGATAGCCTCAAACTGGCTGGGTTTTAGCTGGGGCAAAAGGGGTTATTGGACCTTGATGCTCCTGCAGTCCAGCCTGGGCTCACAGGGAGCCAGTATCAAGAGACAGAGCAGAGGGCTGGCGCCGTGGCTCAATAGGCTAATCCTCCGCCTTGTGGCTCTGGCACACCAGGTTCTAGTCCTGGTCGGGGCGCCGGATTCTGTCCTGGTTGCCCCTCTTCCAGGCCAGCTCTCTGCTGTGGCCCGGGAGTGCAGTGGAGGATGGCCCAAGTGCTTGGGTCCTGCACCCCATGGGAGACCAGGAGAAGAAGCACCTGGCTCCTGCCATCGGATCAGCGCAGTGCGCCAGCTGCAGCAGCCATTGGAGGTTGAACCAACAATAAAAGAAGACCTTTCTCTCTCTCTCTCTCTCTCCACTCTGCCTGTCCAAAAAAAAAAAAAAAAAAAAAAAAAAAAAAAAGGCCAGAGCAGAAGTGTGCAAGGCTTCTCAGCGCCTAGCAGGTATACCACCACTTCTGCTGTATTGTGTTGGCCATAGTGAAGCCAGCCCAGTGAGGCCAGCGGCTAGGGCAATAGATTCCGTCTCTGAGACAGGAGGAGCTGCCAACTAAAGAGTGAGCACACAGGGAGGGGTGAGGGTGGCTAGTTTTGCTGTCACACTACCACTAGAGCGGGGGTGCCTGGGTTTGGGGAGTTCAGAATACCCTTGTCAGCTGAGGAAACAGGAGTGCCATCTTCCAGCTTTGAGGCCAGATCAAGCAGGATTCAAATCCCAGCTCCAGCAACTGCCTGTGAGGCCTTTGGGTGAGCTGCTCTCTCCCCCTGGGCTTCAGTTTCCCCACAGGGCTGTTGCGAGGATCCAACAGGTAATGTGCAGAAGAGGCTGAGCACACACAGCCCCGCCTGGAAGACAGGCACACATTCAACAGAGACGGCATCACATTTCCATCCCAGGGCGCATGCGGGCTCCGCCGAATCTGTCTCTGCTTCCCAAGACTGAGAAGGAAAACAGGCCAGGCCGGAGCATGATTTCAGCCAGGAACCATGAAATGGCAATTACAGAGTAAGAGCTTAATTACAGTTCTTTGGGAAAAGAAGTCAGGAATGCAGTCTGGTGGGCTGAGGGGAGGGGGCTGGAGGAGGTGGGGGGAGTGGGAGCCGGTGAGAAGAGGGAGGACTTGAGGAGGCCCCAGAGGGAAAAGCTGAGCCGCTGGAAAGGAGTTTCCCCTCATCCTCTAAAAGTATCTTAATGACATCTTTATTTGATGCTTTGTTGTCTGATTACAACAGTACTGTGTATTCACTTTATGGAATTTGAAAAATACATAGACTGTGTAACCCACAATCCCACCCACCAGATATGATAATGGCTGGTGTTTACAAGCCTCAGTCTGCCAACACTGGCACTAACGTTTTGCACTAGGGCCTTCTGTGAACACTCCATGCTATTCCCGTTTCACACGAGAGGCGAGACAGAGGCACTGAGAACATAACTTGTCCAGAGGGTCACATCTGGTAAATAGCAGGGTCTGGCTTCAAACCCAGGCGACCTGGTGTCAGAGGCCTTGTATGCCCCTCATGGGTCACAGCATCACCTGGCACCTGGCATATTTGGCCCCATATTTTTTCTTTCGGTAAAGTGTACCATCATTTTTTTTAACTTTTTAAAAGGCTATTTGGAAAATTAGTATTTGTCTTTCTCCAACTGTAGTCTTTAGTATTAGTCCTAAAAGAGTGAAAGTTTGTGTGTTTTTCTCCCCTTTTTTGATCATTTGTGATTTTGATATAAACAAAGAGAAATTACAGGAATCATACAAGAAATTCCCAGAGGGGTTGGCATTGTGGCACAGTAGGTTAAGCTGCCGCTGCATCCCATATGGGTGCTGGTTCAAGTCCCAGCTGCTCCACTTCCCATCCAGCTCTCTGTTAATGTGCCTGGAAAAGCATCAGAAGATGATCTATCCATATGGGAGACGCAAATGGAGTTTTAGGCTCCTGTTTAGGCCTGGCCCAGCCCCAGCATTTGCAGCCATTTGCAGAGTGAACCAGCAAATGGAAGGCTTTCTCCCTCCCTCTGTAACTCTGCCTTCAAAATAAATAAAATAAATCTTTAAAAGATAAAAAAAAGAAATTTCCAGAAACCCTTTACTCATAGGAACCAGTTGTTCACCACCTGCTTTATAATTTTTCTCTTTATATATTTCATATGTGTGTGTATTTACATGCATTTTTCTGAACTATCTGAGATTATATGGGAGACATTATGCCCCTTAATTCCCAAATACTCTAGTGTGCATTTCCTAAGAACAAAGACATTTCCATATACAACCACAATTCAATTAGCAAACTCGGGATGCTTAACATTGCAATAGTATTATCTCATCTATGGTCCTTATTTAAATTAATCAGTTAGCTGTGTTATATATTTTTCCCAGTCAAGGATCTAATTCTGCATCCTGCTTTGAATTTGTTATCATATCTCTTTAGCCGCCTTCAAACTGAAATCATTACTCACTTTCCTTGTCATTCTTGACCTTTAAACATTTTTTATGAAATAGGTCACTTATTTTTATTAAATTTTATTTATTTGAAAGGTATAGTTATAGAGAGAAAGGGAGAGTTAGAGAGATCTTCCATCTGCTGGGCCACTCCTCTAATGGCCACAATATCCAGGGCTGGACCATGCTGAAGCCCAGAGCTTCTTTCAGGTCTCCCACCTGAGTGCCGGGACCCAAGCACTTCTGCCTTCCTAGGTGCATCAGCAGGGAGCTAGACTGGAAGTGGAGCAGCCGGGACTTGAATTGATGGCCATATTGCTGGCATTGCAGGCGGCAGCTTAACCTACTATGCCACAATGCTGGCTCAAGGCCACTTATTTTGTAAAATATTCCTCAATTTAGATTCTTTCCATTCTTTTCTTTTTTTAAGATTTATTTAAAAAGGCAGAGTGACAGAGAGGTAGAAAGAGAGACAGAGACAGCGAGAGAGAGAGAGAGAGAGAGAGAGAGAGAATGAGAATCTACTGGTTGACTGAATCTACTGGTTCACTCCTTAAACATCCACAATTGCTGGGGCTGGGCCAAGCCAAAGCCAGGAGCCAAAAACTCCATTCTGGTTTCCCACATAGGTAGCAGAGGCCAAACACTTGGGCCATGATCTGTTGCCTCCTAGACACGTTAGCAGGGACCTGGATCGAAAGCAGAGGTAAGACTTGCTCCCAGGTACTCAGATAGGGAATATGTATGCCCCAACCAGGCTTAAAGTGCTGCACCACAATGCCCACCCCTCCACTCTTTGTTCTATGTAATGTATACATATACATACATATTTTTTAAATGAGGATCATAAAGTACTTTTTTTAAAAAAAAGTATTCATTTATTTGAAAGGCAGTTATAGAGAGAAAGAGAGATATAGGGAGGGAGGGAGGGAGAAGAGAGAGAGAGAAAGGGAGGGAGGGAGGGAGAAGAGAAAGAGAGAGAGAGAGAGAGAGACATTCCATCTGCTGGTTCACTTCCCAAATGGCTGCAATGGCTGAGGCTGGGCCAGGACGAAGTCAGGAGCTAAGAGCTACATCTGGGTCTCTCAGGTGGCTGCAGGGGCCCAAGGATTTGGGTCATCTTCCACTGCTTTCCCAGGCACATTAGCAGGGAACTGAATCAGAAGTAGAGACTCAAACCCGTGTACATAAAGGATGCCAGCTCCAAGTACTAATGCTTTTAAGCCTTTTCATTGATATATACCACAGACAGAAAAAGTGACAAGTTCCTAAGTGACACTGAATTATGAACACCCCGAGTAAGAGACAGAGATTGGTTCACCCCTAGAAGCCTCCTTGTGTCTTCTGCCTGTCTCAAGTCTACCCCGCCCCCAAGCCATTTGGTGTTTTTTTTTTTTTTTTTAAGATTTACTTATTTATTTGAAAGGCAGAGTTGCACAGAAAGAAAAGGAGAGGCAGAGAGAGAGAGAGAGATCTTCCATCTGCTGTTTCACTCCCCAATTAGACACAATGGCTGGAGCTGCGCCGATCCAAAGACAGAAGCTAGGAGCTTCCTTCGGGTCTTCCCATGCGGGTACAGGGGCCCAAGGATTTGGACCATCTTCTACTACTTTCCCAGGCCATAACAGAGAGCTGCATTGGAAGTGGAGCAGCCAGGTCTCAAACTGGGGCCCATGTAGGATGCCAGCACTGCAGGCAGTGGCTTTACCCACTATGCCACAGTGCAAGCCCTACCACTTATTTTTTTTAAAGATTTATTATTTATTTATTTGAAAGAGTTACACAGAGAGGAGAGGCAGAGAGAAAGAGAGAGAGAGAGAGAGAGAGGTCTTCCATCCGTTGTTTCACTCCCTAATTGGCTGCAACTGCCAGAGCTGCACCGATCTGAAGCCAGGAGCCAGGAGCCAGGAGCTTCTTCCAGGTCTCCCACATGGGTGCAGGGGCCCAAGGACTTGGGCCATCTTCCACTGCTTTCCCAGGCCACAGCAGAGAGCTGGATCGAAAGTGGAGCAGCCAGGTTTCAAACCAGTGCCCATATGGGATGCTAGCGCTTCAGGCCAGGGTGTTAACCTGCTGTGCCTCAGCGCCAGCCCCTGCCACTTGGTTTTTAAAACAGATATTAATTTTGGCTAATTTGTGCTTTATATAAATGGGATTTGTATAGTGAGGAATATTGTTTTTGAACCTGGGCTTTTCACTTAAAATGTAATGGACACTTTTGTGTGTCACTGAAAACTCTTTCCTAGCATCATATTTAATGGCCTCAGAGTAGCTTGTCCAAAATGTAAAGCATAATTCATCAGGCCAGTGCCCTGCTGTTGGGCATGGAACTTACATTCTGTTTTGCATACTGTAAAGCGCACTGCATCGGTCAGACTCCAAAGAGGCAGGCAACACTTAAACATGGTCAAAGCATAGGCCTCAAAGCTACACTGCCTGCATCTGCATCCTGGACCCAACACTTACTAAAAGCATGACCTCAGGCAAGTTACTGAATGGCTCAGTGCCTCAGTTTCCCCCCTGTGAAATGGCAATGATGATGTTGATGTTAATAGGATCCATGTGATCTGTTATTGCAAGGGTCCAGATCAATACAAATAGAGCACTTAAAACAATACTTGACACAAAGAAAATGCTCAATAAATGCTAACAACTATTATCTGTCATTGAAAAATTTTTCTAGAAGTAAAAACAATGTATTAAATTGATCCAAAAAACAATCAATGCTTTTAAAAAAAAAAAAATGGTATTTGTTGGGGCCGGCGCTGTGGTATAGTGAGCTAAGCCTTCATCTGTGGCCCCAGAATCCCATATGGGCACCAGTTCAAGTCCCTGATGCTCCACTTCTGATCCAGCTCTCTGCTGTGGCCTGCAAAACCAGTGGAAGATGGCCCAAGTGCTTGGGCCTCTGCCCTGTGTGGGAGACCCAGAAGAAGCTCCTGTCTCCTGGCTTCGGATCAGCTCAGCTCTGACCATTGTGGCTATCTGGGGAGTGAACCAGCAGATGGAAGACCTCTCTCTCTCTCTCTGTCCCTCCCTCTCTGTCTGTAAATCTACCTCTCAAATAAATAAATAAATCTTTAAAAAGAAATGGTATTTATTGATAAAGCCACTGAGTAGGACTTGTGTGGGATGAAGTGAGAAGGCCCCAGACTGGAGAGACAAAAAACGTAGGTCCCAGCTTTGGCTTGGTCAAGGAGCTGCCGTGTAATCGTTGAAATGTCCCTTGATGTCTCTGAGCCCCTATTTCTTACTAGGGAGGACTGAGATAAGACATGCACGCTGAATAGTTAATATATCAATTGTAAATGAAGTAGGCTGGCTTTGAAGGTCACACTAAACTGAGTTTCATTCTGACTCTGCCAGTTACTTTTCTGAAAGCCTTGGGTAAGTGATTTAACCTCCCTGAGGCCTGGGAAACCCTTGTAGAGGGCCAGCTCATGTAGGTTCACTACTGCTATCATTATTAATGTTCTCCCTCCTTGACCTAAGCTGAAGTAAGAAGAAATTATAAACTGTCAAGTGCTGTGTGTTATTATTGAAGTTAAGGGTATGAGCTCTTAAG